CCTCCCGCCTCACCTTCAAGGAGCTGGTAAGGCTTTTGGGGTGCAGTCAGGTGGCTCCCCTTAAGGATGGGGGGTCCCCATCCCCACAGCCCCTCTCTTGCAGGGTCCCCTCGCCACGCTGCCGCCCTATGTGCGTGAAGAGGCCCAGCGCAGGATCTGCAGGTAGGGGGCATGGGGGAGGTCCCCTCCTTGCTGGCTCAGGCCCTTGAGGCCGTGTCCATCTGTCCATGCTGTGTCTGTCCCTTGCAGAGCGGAGATGGAGCAGCAGAGCCAGGGGGTGCCACTCGTGGACAAGGAACCCACCAACAGCTGAAGGGGCTGGGAACATTGGGGGACATGGAACCCCTGGGGACTCCTGCACCCCATTTTGGTCACAGCCAGGGGGCAGGGAGAGCCCCCCCAGCCCCAGTTTGGTGGAGGTCAAGGGGGTTGCTGGCCCCTAGGGCCCCCCCATCCTCACCCCAACCACGCGTCAGTCAGGGCGGCCTCCGCTCTGTTTTATTAGATATCTGTATAAATAAACCATTTGAATTAATAACAACAACAATTAAAAAAGAAAAACGAACAACGAAGTCACAACAAGTGTCTAAAGTCCAGCTGGGGCCGCCGGCCCCCCCACTCTGGCTGAGAAGTGGGGAGGGGGGCCATGACCCAGGGCCCCCCCATCCTGCGACTGGGGGGCTATTGCTTTTGAGTTCAACCTGGTTTGGGAGCGGGAAGGGGGCATGGGCCGGCTCCTGTGCCCCCCACCCCAGCGCAGCAGCCAGGGGGTGCCCAGCGGGTGGATGTGGGGGGGCGCAGGCTCCTGCTTCGTCCCCACCCCCTCCCCCCCTCATCCCCACAGCCCCAGGAAGGCACGAGGTGGTCTCTGCAGTTCGGACGGCTTCAAAACAACGTCAGGAATAAAATGCATCCTCCCTAAAAGTGAGCGCCGAGCACCCTGCATCCGCTGCCACCCCCGGCAGGATGCCACCCCGGCCAGCGGGGGGCTGGTTAAGGCATTGGTGGTGAGGTCCC